AATATGTATAGGGAGTAGATGTTGTAGGGAACTGGGGGATGGGGGTGGACCAAAACCACTTAAGGAACAATGTTATCAGCATTTTATAATTAAAAAGAATGAACATCAGCAGAAAACACACTGCTCTAATCAAGATAATGGAAACCTCCTGGGAGGAGCTGATGGTCAAAGGAGGAGGAGTGTGTGTTTTGGAGGAGGTGACCTCACCATGAGGAAAGCAGAGTAGACCACTCTCCTGGCTGTGGGGATGACCTGGCCCCCTCCTCTGTGGAGAGGCTCCTGAGCTATGACAGCGTCCAGGATCTTAAACTTGACATTCCTGATGGCTGCAGGGAGCAGAGGAGGGGGGGAGGGAGGGTAATGGACCACACGTCAGGGATAAAAAAAGACTTTTGCACACATTGCATAATGTAGACGAAGAGGAAAACCACAGGGGTAGTTAAGGTAAGGGTTTAATTAAGACTTACGCTCATCACACAGAGGTCCCTCCCTGGTTCCCCACTGGAAACCCTGGACGATGCTGTCTTTGACCGAGCCCAGCAGAGCTTTATCAACCTGCAGGGCAGAGAAAAAAAAAATGAATGGAAGAAGAAATAAAGAGGCTTGTCACTGCACAAATTACAACAGTAAATATTAAGAGCTTAGGGTTTCTTCAAGATTTCTACTAAAAACAATTTTAACACATTGTCTCTTCAAACATCTAACTGCCTGTGAGCTTTTCCTTGAGAAAAGAATCCAAAACACAGCACTCACCTCAGAAGGCAGAGTGTCATCTACCAGAATGTTGGGTCCTGTTGTGTCTGGTCCAAAGGCCCAGATTGACCTGGCGGCCAACAGATCCCAGTCGTACTTTGTCTGAAAGAACTCTCCCAGCTTCTTCCTGCAACAAGGAAACAGCATGAAGCGGCGCTTAAAGGCGGGGGGAGAGGAGGGTTTACACACACTGTCAGCTGGGAACATTAAAGAGATTGGTTGATCGGGGGTCACGAAGGTTAATGGAATACGAGGAGTGGAGCGAAGGTTTAGTTTAATGGTGTGTGAAGTATTTCCCACTCCTGGCGTTGACCACTCCATTCTGGCACTGTTGGGTCCAGATGGTTGAACAGACGTGGCCAGAACACACACACTAATGAATGCTACTTTAGTCACAGGGACGGAAAAAAAAATCCTGCATGCTTTTAGTGCATGATTTAATTACAGTAAAAGGTCTAATCAATACTTCAAGTGAAGGGCTTTTAATAAGTACATACCTATACTTCTCCTAATGCACAGACTGGTCTTTACTTCAATATAAAAATCATGCAGATTCTGTATTCAACTGAGTGAGGAAAATGGTATAATATGGCGGTATTTAATAAATCTATATTTAAAAATAAAATAAAAAACTAACTAAAACCAAGTGTGGACATTTCTTTGTCACATCTGTATATCATTGTTAATATTTCATTAAAAACGAATTACCATTCCTGCACTGCTCATTTATCTCTATTAACTGAAGGACTAATGATTATTAATGTTCGGTCAGATTGTGAGTAGATTTAAAGCATTTGATGATATGGTGATTATCGCACGTGTCGTCACATCGTTTATTTTAAAATACCATCTCAAAGCAGTGAGGTGTAACGATGTGGTGCTGAACTCACCTGTTCCATGTGATCTGCACCACTTCGTTCTCTATGTCCTCGGCCAGACCCTTCTCCAGGGGCTCGGCGATCATGGTGATTTTATTCCTGTCGATGACATCACACAGACATCACTATCACTTCTCACAGATGATACAACACTGAGCCAGTAGGGGGAAGACTTAAAAAAAGGTAAGTTAAATACTCACTTTTTGTTTGGCGTTTCAGCAAAGCACTTGAGGGACGATGTTTCAACTACTGTTTCACAGAAAGTCACAACTGGGTCGGCAACCTGTGACAAAACACGAGCAGGGGTTTTATACTTGAAATGNATATATATATACACACAACATATATAATATAAACTCTGCAGTATAATGATTTGGAAAAATATTTGAATAACATTTACTTTAATGTCGATTTCAGAGTACATCTTCCGCAGGTCGTGCATGACACAGTCCAGGTAAAGCTCTCCTGTGCCCAAGATAACATGCTCCCCAGATTCTTCCACCTAAAAGACAGAGACAAAGACAAAGACAAATGGAGACAAAAAAAGGATTCACTTCTTACTTTTACAGTTACTTAATTCTGCCAATTTATTGCTACACTGACTACATCTGTAATTTCCTATGTGCTCCAAGGAGATTGTCTTGTTCTTGTATATCACCACACATTTGGAAAAGATCTGCCACAGGAAACCCAGCCTTGATGATTGATGTACCTTTGTGGTTAAGGATGGATAGCTCTTGTTGACCTTCCTCAGTCCGTCAAGCATTTTAGGAAGCTCTGACGGGTTGACAGGTTCCACTGCGATCTTGATAACTGACGCGGTGTTGAACTTCAGAGGCCGGAAAATCTGGGCCTGTGGAAGAAAGAAGAAAATGGCTGTATGTGATGCTGCTCTTGGTAATAATCCTAGAGACCCTGTTGACTCCCTGTGTCTCTCCCTGCCATGTCTCACCTCTTCGTTGCCTCTGGGTTCTGTGATTGTGGCTGTTTTGACGATGGGTTGATCGCAGCCTTCGATCAGGACCCAGTTGCCGGCAGGGACTCGATTCACTTCAATCTGATATCTGTAGATGTGGTGGAAATAATCAGCAAATAAAAACATCAGTTTCAAACAATTAATTCTTTTGATTTTGACTTTTTTTTACTCTTATTAGGCTTGTGTCAAATAATTTTTCAAAATTAATCGGATATAATTATAGAATCACTGTGGTCTGAAAACATTTTCTTAAATTTTTGTTATGTGTTTCACAAGTGTTTTTATCTGTGAATAATCCAAATGATGGAATTATTGATGGAAAATGTCAAGAGAAATATGCAAAGGTAGGAGTAAAAATTCAGTTTCAAACAATTTGTGGATTTTAGTCATTACAGAAGGAAAGTTTTGTTTTAACCTTTTTATTAATTCCGTTTAATCCCCTTTACTGGAAATAAGTAAAAAATAATTCTGTACATATAGACATATTTAAACATCAATCTATTCTTTAATAAAGTGAAATAACAGTAGAATTAAGAAGGGTACCTGGCAACAGAAATCCACAGACGTCCAACGGTGCAGACCTGAGAATCCTCCTCATCTTCCAGAGTGTAGTTTTCTCCTAACACTTTGACCGGCTGACCTGCCTGAATGGTGCCACTCAACACTCTGCCAAAGGCGTGGAACTGAACCCCATCTTCAGTGCTGTACATCTTAGTGGTGTGGCACATCAGGGGGCCCTGAGGACGGGACAGACAAGGTGGACAGGAAAAAAAGAAAGAAAGAAATAACAAAAAGTGAGGACAGCAGTCTTAACAAAGAGGTTAAGGTAAGACTCTTTAATTCATCTTGACCTCAGGGTAAATGAAACAGCCTATTTAATTATATCTAATTAGAACAAGGTAAAAACACAACGCAACATTTCTACTTCCTCTGAAAAGCAAATAAACAGGACGTGTCCTCCATCACTTCAAAACTCACTTCAGGGTCACACTCTGCCATGGCATCCCCCAGATCTGAGTCCAGACCTCCTGTGTAGGTGTGCTCTATCTTGGCCCTGGCGCCACCTTGTGGGGATGGTATGTGCTGAACGCACATGTCAGCAAAGCCTATAGAGAAAACACCAGGGCTGTATTAGGAATTGCCTCATAAAAGCAAACATGAATTGATTCTTTCCTTTTTGAAGGTCAGCAGCCACTTGCCCGTTGTAAAATGCTATGTTATCAATATGTAATAACACTGCACCAGCATTATAGCACCTCTATTTACAGAGGTGACTTAAGCTGGAGTATTTCCAACGACCATAAAGAGATGTAATAACCTCACATTCAGGGCTACAGTCTATCACAATAACAAAAAATAAAGCTGGACAAACCAGTGAATTCCCCAAAGAAACGATTGCAGACCAGCCTCAACAACGGTCTGATGTTCAGCTTCAGCTCCTCTTTAGTCAGGTGAATACCTAACTCATCCAGAACTCGAGGAAGAGACGTGTCCACATCTCCAACCACCTGCAAATAGAATTGAGGTGGTGAATATTTACACATTTGCACGACTACGTCCAGGAGCCTGAAACTATGGAGCTCGGGGAGCTGATTCTAGTGCATGTTAACAATGGCCAACCTGTGACAGGATCTTGTAGAGAGGCTCCAGAACAAACTCGACAAAACTGCGCTGAGAGTTGCTGCTGGGAGCTTTCTTTGTGAACTTCCGTCTGAAAAGAAAGGAAAATCATTAAGGAAAATGAGACGAGACTTGACCACAGAGAAGGAGACTTTAAGTTCAATCTATATTCTGTTCTTACGTTTTGGGGTTGAAGTAAATGTCTCCCCACAGCCTCTTGGCAAACTCATTATAGTTAATGTCACCTGTGAACAAACGCTGACCGTGAATACATGGAACGTGTATAAAACAAACTAGAGACAATGTAGTTTTCTGTAGTTGAAAAGGCATCTTACCGTAAGTGTCAGAGTAAATCTTTGCAAAGGAGCCGAGAGTGAAGCAGATACTGTACTGGGAGCTGGCAAAGCACACATTTCCGAGCAGTGGAGACACGACCAAGTTCTCATCTGTAGTATAAGTGCTAAAAAGATAATTTTATAAAATTAGCATCTTCAGATATTCTCTCTTTTAGATCATGTTTTTTAAGATCTAACACTTTTTTAAAGATACGATTTTTTTATAAATTGGAACTATTAAATAATTTTTGTAGGTTCATCCATTCTTAACAGTTCCTTCAACAAGGATGAAATATTACCTGAGCAAACCATTGACCTCATCGACGATGTGGCGCAGTTTATAATATGCATCTGTCGGAGGCAGTTTGAGCTCCACAATGAGCCGGTCCACCTTGTTGATGCAGATGGTGATGGCCATTCGCTCCTGAACTGCATGTTTGATGAGTCGCTCAGTGTTTAGCATTACCTGGATGAAGAATACAGAACAAACCCAATTATTCAAAGGATAAAAAAGTTATTTCATATTATATTTGAGTTAAAACTGTGGTTCTCAATGTATGAAAGGGGTAAGGCATTAATTTCCTACACATACAAAAAAATAGATTAAAATGTCAGAAAACAGAGGATGCGACTAATTAAAACAGAGGTTGCTAACTATATTTGTCAGATGGCCAAATTTTTTCTAGACAGATACCTTGGTGGCCAGAGATACAAAATTTATTATTATTTATTTTGGGATCTAGTCACGACTGTAATGGACAGCAGATTCAGTCACTGCCAGTTGATGATCACATCAACCCATTGATACAAATGTTGTCATTGTTTACACAGATATTTTTGTTCACTTTTGCTACATGATCACTGAAATAAAAATACTTAATTACTTAATGTGTTGATAAAGCTGTCAAATAAATAAATAAAAGGTTACTAACTCCTTCTGCAGCATCTATGAAGAGGACAATGCCATCTGAGATCCGGATACTGGACGTGACCTCATCTGAGAAGTTCACATGACCTTAAGATGAAAAAGAAAACAAGTTTAGATTATGATAAAATATTAAAGTTTTGACATTTGTCAACCACCTTAAACTTAAAACTAGGAATTTTAAGGTGTACTACCTGGTGTATCCATGATGTTGAAGAGATACGATTTGCCCCTGGAGTCTGGCAGAACCATTGTGACTGGAGTACTTTTGATACCAACTCCTCTCTAAAGAAGAAATGAAAACATAAAAAATGAACAAAGATGTAAAATAAACTTTTCCAACATCATGAATGTAAAACAAGCCCATCCTTAAGAGACAGAATCGAGTAGACAAAACTAACTCCAGGCTACATTAGCAATGATAGCATGGCATCAGTGAAGTTGTTCAAACCCAAAATACCAACCTCCTGTTCTGTGAAGAGGATGTCTGTGTATCGGAGCTGCAAATGTGAAGAGTTCATGACATTAGGTTAGAGGTTTGTTGTACGTTAAATTAAAGAGAAATTAGACATTTTTTACTTTTTGAACTATCAACACACTTACATCCACATCGTCTCTCTTCCTGATTTCTGGGTGTGTCTGTTCAATTAGGCAGTCAACAAAACAGGTCTGGAGAAAGAAACACATTAGATTTAAATAAGTGTAAACTACAGGCATGTAAACAGGATACACTTTGAAACATTTCTTGAATTTAGATGTGCAAACATAATGCAAATAGATTTTCATCAGATCTGGATGTGACCTTATCCAGTATAACAGCTATAACTGTTTTTATCAACAACAATAAACAAACATAAATGAATGCAAGACCTTATTCTCGACAAGTACACACTGGTTCATATGTAGATTTATGCAAATATTTATGGCTTTACAACAACAGTTATCAAGAGAAAATAGGAACATTCAGCATGACAGAGCCACATGTCACAGTCTGAACCCTGTCTATTGTCATCAAGCAGGTTCAGTTAATTTCACTGTAAAATAATTAATGTATTCACGTTTCCTCTGAAGAGCACCTTCTCAAACTGTGCCTTAATACCAGCCTTAATAATATCTACTGTACATAAAGGAGGTTCTAACCTTGCCGTGGTGAAGGTGACCACAGAGAGTGACGTTACGAATCAACTCTGGACCATCCATCAAATCTGCCAGGAATCTGGCAGCAGGCAAGAGGAATATATCACAGCATTAGATGACAGAAATGACAAATAGAAACACAGTCAATGACAAATTAAAATCCCTGGCAATGTGCCTTCACTGGTCATTTAATCCTGTTTATAATTTGCAAGGTCAATATTGTTTGGTAGACTCATGTAAGCAAAACACTGCATGGATGACTCACTCCATATCGTAAACTGTAGCAGGCAATTCTTGTTCCATTAAAGTAAACCGTCGGCTCTTTACAGGTTTGATGATGGGCTCTGAAAGATAAGGATATAGCATATTTGTACATTTTTGCTTTCATTACTCATACACATCCCAACCAGTCATGGTGTTCAATACAAATAACTGCTTGAATACTGTACATCTCTCACCAGTTAGAGGTTGGGTGTCCTCCTCCTGGACAATAGTTTCTACTTCTGGTCCATAAACCTCCTCCGCTGTCGGATAATACTTCTTATCCTCATGCAGAACCACCTCCATGCCTGGGGCATCATCATCAGCATCAGCAGGTTCATCTTCATCGTCGTCATCACCCTGCACATGAACAAAGTTGTAACACACAAATATGCACAAAGGGAGTTTTTACACTCATTGAAAACAGAATGACATAGGATACGCTACCTCATCAATATCTCTGTCCTCTGCTTCAAGATCATCTTCATCATCATCAGAGTCCAGCTCTGGACCGATGTAGTTTCCAAACTCATCATAAAGATCAGCCTCCATCTTGTAGAGACCTAAAAAAAATGTCAGAGTTCAACATCTTCCTAGTTCATTTACGGTCCACATAACATTAATACAAAACTCAGGAAGAGAACCTGCATTAACCATACAAAAAGTTCATCAGTGACCAGCGGCTAACAAAGCCACGATTTCTATCCTAAAGGACAAGAGCAATAATCACCGTTCCACTTGAAATATATATTTTTGGGCATCAGGAAATATATTTGCGTTATTATAGTTTGTGTAAAACAATAAAAAAAATAGGTCAAGCACAATCGTTACAATAACACGCCGTATTGCATTGTAAACAACAATACAACATTTGATATAAATCCGTGAATAATTGGAGGTCGATGTGCATGTATTTATTCTTTGCAATAACAAACATATAATTGTTTAAAGTCTTTGCTGACGTAACAACAACGTCGTGTGTTAACAATTAAATACTATTTTGTTCTTAAGGTTTAAGAAATCTTGTCCTCTGACGTGAAAACGTACCCTTCAACAACAGCCAATGCTAATTCATACTTTACAAACTGATCGGCATTTTTGTTTATCTAAGGCAACATCCTCTCCTGAGACACACACACACATATATATAACGTTAAAAGTACTTCGCTTTAGTTGTTTACAATAAGCATAAGCGAACTGTTTTATATTCTGACAATAATGTTGCACAGAGCCGGCAAGATAGCCCACTAGCTAGCAAAGAAATGAATGATCTGTGGACGACGTTTAACTAACGTTGTTTTTCTACGTATTCTTTTACCGCTATTTGTATGTTAAGGTACATTGAATGTTGCAAAACACACTCACCTTTCTTCGCTTTCACTTAACTCGATTAACCGAACCGAACGAAAAAGTACTTAGTAGGGGGAAACGTTTTAAAATACAACAATATTTCAACAGAGCGGCATGCGCACAGAATGACTACTTCCGGGTCTTCCTCTATGAACCGGAAATGTAATAAAAACTCGGCACTGCCCCTCCTGAGTAACAGGGAAACTGCAGGTAAACGCCTCCCCACTGCCCAAGGCAAGTCTGGCGTGATTGTTGATTTAACATGAATGCCTTCCTCATCTTCTATCGCGTTACCCCTGTTCACGTGTTAATTTAATCAGTCTGATAGAATTCGACTCTGAATTTACTAGAGCTTACCAGTCCACCACTGGGCCAAACATATTATTAACGACCAGGTGTATAAGCCTACCTATTTTGACACATAATAGCTTGACGTTAGATTGTTACAAAAATAATAGGTAGAAGTTTGTCAAAGGTATGACTAGTAGATAAAGTTAAGTCGCTCACATTCGAATATGACGGTAGACGTCTATTTCAGGTGGGTTTGAAAATCCGGGCATTGTCATCGACAACAGGAATTTTACAGAAATTTAAACGTTACAAAATATATTTCACAAGGCTAGTTACATTCCCTGCTGCAAATTTAAACGACATACAGAATTTAGTCAGAAAGGTGGAAAATAGATTACCGCCCCATACCAAATATTTACTCACTAAGGCATAGTTGTTTATTTTCTTTTATTGTTTTTACAGTAAACCTAATATGAAAATATAGTTGTTGTTATACATTATGACCACACGATGGCGCTCCTTGTAAATTGTACACATAAAGCGTCTATGGATTAGCGTGAGGAAAACTTACAGGCTTTTGGGAACGGTACTTCTGATCAAACGTTTAATTAAAAAGTCACTCCGCCGCAAACTCATGTTTGTAGCTACCTGACGTTTTTTTTTATTAGGTTGACCTCTTTAGGACATGAATGCAGAAGTCATGTCGTTAAATAATGTGTGACAGGAGTTCACATGTAATAATTTTTTTTTTCATGATACAGTTCTGTCTATCAGGGATTTTTAACAATAAAGAAACATATATAAAATTATAATATATATATACACACATATTATATATATATATAGTATTAGAGTAGGCATCATATTCACAAAGCAAGACTGATACACATAATAAACATTCAGAAACATGTACATTTCTGTAGACACGGAGTACATATTTCTTCAAACATGACACATTTTTTTTGTCTTATAAAATTAGACTAAACAGCTCGTTGGATAAATTAGTGATTCAATGACCAACAGACCTACCACTGTCTACCATGGATTGCTACTGAATACTTTAAATAAAAACATTTGTCTTAAAATATTGTTTGCCTGAAGGTAAATAATATATATATATATATACATAAAGTAAAAAGCATTATTTTCATTTTTTATTGCATTTTTCAATGTTTTTTCTGACAAAGGACAGTCTAGTTGAGACAGACACAGAAGAACCTGATGACCAAAGGAAGTTCACCTAAAAACAAACCACCGAAAAAAAGAAACAAACAAACAAACATTAAAAAATGTGAGCTGTTGTCTTCATCTGAAGCCACACTGCCTTCTGCCTGTATTCTCTCTTTCTCACTTTCTTTACCCCATTGATTTGATTAAAGAAATTAGCTAAAATGTGTTTCGTCTATGAAATAAGGTTTAGTTTATTGGTACGTTTTCCTGATCTAACATTGCTGACATGACAATCTGTAGATATGACCTTTAATAGCCGCTCACCCTGACTCTTATTTATAGTTGACCATTTTTTTTACTCAGCTATCAGCTTCCTCAGTCGCTGCACCACTTCATCTGCACTAACCCAAGGCACCGTGACTGCCTTGAACTCCCCAGGCATGGCTTCATGGGTCTCCGTGATCAACCGGTGCATAGGGAAGTCCCTGCGAGGGAAGGCCACGTCCCGGGGCCCGAGAGCAAGGGCTGGACAGAAGTCGTTAGCTCCATCACCCACGTAGAAAACCCTCTGGTATGGTCGGCCACGCTCCTGCGTCCTACGGGCCACATAGTCTTTGACCACCACCTGCTTGCACATGTTGACCGGGCACCGCTGGCAGTCGTGAGAGTGGAAGGGCTTGAGCACCAGACGTCCGTCCCTGTTGAAGGTAGCTGGGTTGGTGAAGATACGGTGAAAAAGCTGGCGGGCGCCGACGCGCCTCAGCCACGACTCGATGAAGAAGGCGTTGGCGTCAGAGACCAGCACAACCTCAAAGTCCTGTGGAGGACGGGTGCGGAGGAACTGGAAGAGGTTGAGCATGCCGGGGGTGGCAGGTAACTTCTCCATTATCCCTCGCATGTCACTCTCAGTGACACCTTGCTCTGCGAGGTAGGCCAGGACACGCTGCATGTACTCGTTGTAGCGTCCAGGATTGTAGGTGTCCTTCAGCCAATCGGGGAGGTGTTTACCCGGGGCGGCCTGAACCACCATATCATCGCTGGTCTCATCCACGATGGTCTCATCGAAGTCAAAGAAGATTAGGAAGCGCTTGTCGGAGGACATGTTGGATGAGTGGGAGGCCATGATCTCTGTGCGTCGGGACCTGTGGTGTTCCTCCTCTCCTGGAGGGTGGGGTGGGACATAACAGCAGTTGAAGAATGAATCTCCCATCATTAACTATGTCACACCACTTTACTCTAGCCAAGTGGCATCAAAGAACCTTCTCCAGCATTCTCCTCCAGGGAGGCGGAAGCTGCCGTGGAAATCTAAGTTTCTGGAAAGAAGCTGTGTTTAAATAGAGGGGGACGGGGACGGGGAAGGGGAAAGGGGAAAGGGTTGGGTCGAAACAAACCGAATAGAAATTAAATTTAGGGTGTACACATATACAAACAATTAATGATAATAAAAAGGAGTGCAGTGCAGCCAACCAGCAGCATCTTCAGCCCTGTTTAGCTTTTGTTGAATACTGAGAACAATTTGAACAAACAGTATATATGTATGTTTAAAACAATAACATTTCTACAGGGAATTTAAAACTAAATGTGTTTGAGGCTGCAAGAGGAACGTCCACATTTTCTATTACCTGCTGTAAAAACTCTGTTCAAACATTAAACTAATAAAGCGGTATGTCAACACACATCCTCACCCAGTTTCTGACTTCATTCTCAGATTTCCTACATTATTTTTTTACATATTCCATATAAATTTCTATCTTCTCCACTAAAGCAGAAAAAAAATCACTATTATCAGATCTAAGCTCAACACAAAATCTTGAGATTTCACATTTGATAAAGATCATTGGCCTTGTTAAAAGTTGATTTTCATATTAATCTGTTTGCATCAATAACTGAGAAAAAGAATAAGACTCATAAAACTGCTATGAAACACAACTATTAAATCTGAAGACCAATTATTCTACACATAAAAATATATAATAACGCATTACATAATGTACCTTACAGTTATAGTTCCCAAAATATGCACTTTTTGCAGAGGATATTGCCGTTTACTAGGGAGCTACTTATTCAGACCATCTTCAACTCAGACTCAGATGAGAGCACCTCTCTTCTCTAACCTACTTTCTAAAAACAACAGTGCAGGGTGGTCGCAGTCGAGAAGATTAACTCTTTTTCTCCACTGCCTAAAAAATGTATAGAAAAAGAGAAAAAAAAAACTGTATATAAATCACCGGTTCTGTTGTCGGTCTCCGCAGTCAATCCAGTACAATCCGGTTTCAGAGGGAACACCGAACGAGTTCTGCCGGTCTGCCGCTGGGGCGCGCTTTTATGTGACAGTCCAAAACCACGCGAGCGTCTGGGAAACGTGACCGCGCCTGCGAGCCCGCCCATTTAATAACAGCCCACGGCGCGCGTTCACAGCCTTTCCGAAAGAAGACATGGAACATGAAGGAGAAAAAAAAACAACCAGAGTGAATACTCGGTATTCTGTGTACAAAACCACACATATATTAATAGTGTGTGTGTGTAAAGATGACATGAATGTGTCAGTGTTGGTCTTTCCGTCAGCACTGCAGATGTAATGACCTGTGGTCAAAGGTGTGTGAGACACTGCAGGACAAAAAAACAAATGACTCTGGTTAGAGGTAAACAACAGCAGCTCCAAAAACAGCCCAAGGTCATTTCTGCTAAACACCGAGTATATTTTTTCCATTTACCCTCAGCTGATACTCATGCTATAGCAGTGGGGAAGTGGGCGTAAACATGTACGAGGAAATATTTAAATCACCCGATTCCCAGAAGAGGTGATACTCTAAAAATGTAAAGACAATAAGATATTTTATTAAGTTATGCCCTAAAGTCTTTAAACAATTAAAGGTGATTAAACAATTCAACATCTGGCAGATTTACTGCTCGCTGGACACAAGGTGCCAACGGCGCAGAGAAAATGTAGTAGTGCTTTACCTGGGAACTGCAGGGTTTTGTAGACTCACACTTGAAATGAGGAAAAAAATAACAATGATAATTCCAAAACTGCAAAATAAGAACCGTTTCGGTGTTTTGTTTCTTCTTTGGCCTATAGAATCTGTTGGTCAACAGAACAAGTATACATTGTGCCCTGGTCCGTCTCAGATGAACTCTCTACAGTTAATACATGACTGTTTTTGCAGCATACAGTCTAGAGAAGCAGCTTCTAACGTATGTCGTCTGTTCCTTTATTCTCCTGAATCTTTTTTGAGACCTATTAACTGTAAAATGCCACCCACATTATTTTTTTACTGTGTTAGTAAAACACAGATTTAAACCACGAGACACCTGTGGTTACCTACTGCGGCGCCCTCCACCTGGTAACAACCACCAAAAATAAATATTTTACCAAAGACATGACAGGCCACGTGAAACCTAACCTCGTGCTGTTTGAATATGGAAACAGACCTAAATGTGCTGGACTTTGGTAAATGACCGCTATAAAATAACAGCCGTGGTCAAAACTTCTCCTTTTCAAACATTAACGTATTGTGTTTCTACAATGGTGTAGATAACAAGGTGCAAGTGCGCGGTGATTATTGAACAGTGCAGCAACTGGTCGAGCAGCATCTGAAAAACAACAGTTTCCTTATCTGTCTGCTGACAGACGTGGCCTTCTCCCTCCTCTACACCACAAGGCGTAATGACTAACAGCTGGGTAGGCTGACAGTACTTCCAAACCCGAACAGAAAAGGCGATGTACCCACACTGTTATTATCCCCTCTGCTCACGAAATGAGCCTCGGTACCTGACCACCCACTCACCATCAGTGAATCACACTTTTCTCTGCACACACAGCCTTTAAGGAGTATGTGACTCACTGATGCACCACTGAAAAGCACCTGAGGGCACAAGGCATTATAAAAGATATTTTGTCAAGAAGACATTTTTAATGGTATTTATTTTTAAAACGCTAAAGATGCAAGGGGAAATTCAGGGAACAGAGGAGGCTTTGGTGAGGAAAATGCAGTCAAAAGACTGAATAATAATAAAAGACAATAATTGTTTTTTTAAAAAAAAGGTGGAGGCAGGTTGGAGTTGTATTGTCTCATTGACAGAAAGCTGAGCAGCAGCAGCAGAGGTGAAGCTGCTGGGGGTTTTTAATGGGAGGAACCAGAATTAGAAACAGAGGGAAGAGCTAAGGCCGAGGAGAAACAGGTGGAATTAGAGCTTGAGGATGGTTTGGACATGTGCTGAGGAGAAGCAGTGAATATAATGGGAAGAGGACGTTATAGACAGAGCTGTGGGACAGGAGAGACTAAATGAAGATTCCACAGAAGACACATTGATGCAAATATAGATCCAATATTTGGCTGCCAATTATCCAAATTGGTAATCAGAGTCTACTTCCAACAAACTCGTGTGTCAGTTTATTTTAAAGTTGTGAAAGGAGACACAAGAACTAAGTACCTGAAATATCGTTCAAGGAACTGGTCTTTACTCTGTAGTTTAAGCATCAGTGCACACTGTAATACTTATCAAAGACCTATATGTTCAGTTTTAAGCTGCAAGTCAAGTTTGACAGGTTTCATTAGACATCAGGCCCTTCAACGTCATTCTAGAGCTGTTCCACTGGTCCAAAAGAATTTTACATGAATCTGAATCCATTCCCAGATCAGTGACAAGTTCATATTTACCAGCGCATTAAGTAATTTAAATAAACAAATCCTTTTTGAAGAGTGAAGAGAGAGACAGTCAGGGACACAAAAATGACCATGGCTACTTATCTTTACTTTTAAAAATTAGCAGTCAGTTAAATGTATATTATCAAAAAAGGCCCATCGTTTTCCACGTCTTGTCCATTCTCCAGGTAACATACAAAAAAGACATACCAGGACATTATAAAGCTGCACATTTTGTACCAGATACAATAATAAAATACACAATGCTACATTAAGTGGTTAAAAATACAAAGGGGGGGGGGGGGGAGAAGATATATTGAATTTCTTTTAAAATATCTTTTAAAGAATATACAATGGTACTTTTTTTTCTGAACGAGCCAAGAATTTTAGTAGAAAGTGCATTCCATATAGCAAAGGAAGGAGGAGGAGAATTGATCGGCAACGTGAAAGATGTAATGGGACATGAGACACAGAGAGACTCTATGAACAGACGTACAAAGACGAAAGTGTTTGGGGACAAATCTTTGTGGAGCCAGTGTGAAGTAGCCCAGCAGTAGGAACATTTCTTTCTATTAAAAAAAAAGACCATTTGAAGGAAAGGTGATGTCACTTAAGAACAGGAAATTTCACCGAAGCATGTCACTCAAAGCAGCGTCCTGTGTTCCCCGCTGCCGCCTCCTCCACACTGGCTAACACCACTTTGTGTTCTCCTCCTTTCCTTGCCTTAAAAAACATCCACTCAAAGTCACCATCTTCACCCTTTTCACTCGTAGCCACAAATGCACTCTGATCCACAATGCATTGTCAGCCCCTCCCTCCCACCCTCTGTTCCCTGCGCCTCACCCACGCAGCAGTAAAGTGCAGAGAATACACACAAATTAAGAGGCTCAAAAAAAAAAAAAGAGACAAAAGATTCAAATGGCAACATGCTGTGGAGCTACAAAGGGACAACATGAGAAGCGGCTTTTGAGAGTCACAGAAATGGCAGGATAAATGCAGGTCTCTCATCAAACTACAGAGCTTAACTGCTTCAGACTGAATACTGTTCAAAGTGAATATTCTACCTGTGGAGGCGAAAAAGCCGTTGAGATAATTTCTATTATACATGACGAAACTCACAGTGTGCAAGTCTTTGGGGACTCCTGTTATTTAAGTTAAGTTTAATACACTCTACAAAGGTCTTCAGAAATAGTTCTCCAGTCTAAAATGAGTTCCAAAGCTGATCACTGATCATTATTTGCTTTCTTGGACAACGAGGTCTTAACAGTGTCAGGCACTTAAGGAATGAAAATGAAGAAACATTCCAAATTATAACATTACAATAATGTGCTTTTGGCAACATTCCAAACTGTGGTGTAAACCAAACAAGTTCCCAGATCAACCACTTAAATTACTAATTAAAAGTTGCAACAGCAAAGTGTTGTCCTGAAAGCATTTGAATAAAATACAAAGTAGATAATCGGGCACAGAAGCTAAGAAGTGCTTGTGGTAAACTGTTCATCCAATGGTCACCAAAGTCATGTCTTTAATGGAGGGGTTAGCAAAATGAACACGTTTCTAGGAAGAGGCAACTGCTAAAATATCCTCACACAAACAGACAATAGTCCAAGTCTGAAGCATTTTGGATGATCAGTGATTTATTTTTGGAACCTTCAATAAAACACGAGAGTGGCTCCGTAATGGTTCGGGGCTGTGTTTTAGCCAGTGTCGTCGGTGACCCAGTGAATTATGTGGAAATTTACTTTTTCAGCAACACTTTGAAACACTGCATATGCAATTGAAACAAACATGATGAGAATAACAAATTCTCCATCAAGCAATGAAAATATTGTCATCAAATTTGTTCAGTCTCATGGATAGGAGCCTTCAAATTAGGATTATAAAAGCTTTGGTTTTTTTTTTTCAATTAAGCAGTTTATATAAATTTAAGGTTCTATTGAAAATTCTATTTCATGTATTCATAATTTTTCTAAATTCAAAAACAGGAGAGCTCAAAGACTTGCTCACACCAAGGTAAATTAGGAACAAACTGCAAAAGAAAGCATTTGGCTAACAAACACATCTAGGCTGGTTGAGACTGTCACGCATCCATCAGTACACACACATCAACACACAGACCTCACCAATATATTCCTGAACACAGTGCTGTCGAAGGGTTAACAACCCTAAATCCAGAGAGCTAAATCCATGCCAAACATTCCTGCAGCTTACAAAAAAACCAAAACAAATCTATTACATGAACACATTGTTATCTACACAAGAGTTCCAAGTACATTTTTAGAATCCTATGTCAACTTGCCTTTTATCCTGACATTTCCTATCATGTGCTAACAACCGTATAGCTACACTACAGAACCATTCATTAGCTTAAAACTGAGCAAATCATCAGAGAACACGATAGCATGAATGACTCATCATTCTGCGTAGGCAACATTCAGCTTTGACAGATTTAGACGCGTGTGACCGTGTGGAAAACAGAGTCCGTATAGTGAAAATCAAAAACCGAGCATTACATTGAAAATGCCCTAAAACTGTGGAATATGGGCTGAGAGGAATATGCATAATTATCAGTTAAGACCAGTGATGGAAAAGAACCAAAGTGTGTATTATGTGACCTTTAACATGGTAACCCGTATCATTTTATCAGCAGCGAATGAAGGTTGGGGTAAATCCTGACGGGGTCACGTGTCCGGCCCCTCACAGTGGCAGTATTTGACGGTCATCGGTTATCTAAGAGCATCTGTTAACCAACAGTACTGAAAACTGAGGAGTCACTGATCACAGTGAGTCAATCAGTGACCATGCGGTCTCTGTCCTTTTGAGTGTGCTTGAGTTCAGTGTGAGGCTGAGCGTGCCAGGGCATGTCCTGCATAAAAATGACTCCACACGAAAAATCGAGTCAA